AGATTCGGCTTTGTTAGGAGTATAGCATCTGCGGGTTTTCGGCCTGTACAAACAGCCAGCTTTCAGATTCCTGGTTAGGGTTTAGGGTGTGGGGTTTAGGGTTTAGGGTTTAGGGTTAGGAACCCACAGAGGTTCAGAGGCATACTCACAAGAGCTGCCCACGGGATCGATAGAAGTTGTGCAGCAGCTCACATGGGTAGTACTCTAAAGCAGGGTCCCTTTTTAGGTCCCCCCCCGAAATAGTGCGGCACCCCTACAAAGAGGAGCCTAAGAGGGACCCTAGTTTGACGAACTCCATACATGATGCAGCTTTTGTTATTTCGATCTACGAATCAGGGAATGTCACGCGGTGCAGGTGGCTTGCAGGGGTACAGTTTCTATTCAATGAGATGTCGGTGCCTCGTCTACTCTCAAGCCAGGGCCTTAGCTTAAAACTCCGAGCCCTGAGCCCTCGACCCCATGTCCGCGACCCGCCAATCGTTGATCTGAATAGTTCGTGATGTAGGAGCATCCCCCTCAGAGCACCTAGATAATCACAGGATAACATTCGCCTCAGTCCCATTCTAAGACTTGCAGGCCCCAGCTTTGCATCTCAACAAGTCCTACATCTTAGCATAGAGGAGCCTTAGAGGGGGATCGTAAGGCATACGCTGGGAATTTGTATGCCGCTGGAACCCATAGCCCCTAAACCCCAACCCGGAAATTCTTAACCCTAAACCTCAAATCCTGAACCCTAAACCTGAAACCCTCAACGCAAAGCCTGGGCCTGCATATTTAGGACCTAGACAGTCAGTGGCCAAAAACCCTTGACCTTCAAATCCCAAACCCAAATGCCTCCACGAAGCCTGAACAGCTCGGCAAGGCATTCAACGAGACTTGAAACGGGAGCGGAACGAAACGAGAGCCCAACTACCTAAATCCCAGCCCTAGAGCTGGTACTGCCACCCTAAACCCTAAACCCTAAACCCTAAACCCTCCCCGGAGTCCCTATGTAGATACACTCCTACCATACCATGAAGGCCTCCATTCAGTATATGAAGGCCCCGGTCACAAAACACCACCAAACCCTATTCACAACCCCAAACAACCTCGCAAGACCTGCGGTTTAGTGTTTAGGGTTTAGGGTATAGGTTTTAGGGTTCAGGNNTTAGGGTTTAGGGCTTAGGGTATGCTAACGCCCAACGCTTTTTGCAGGAGAAGGATTCCTTGCGCTATAAGAGCAGCTTTTGGAAGCCTTGGTTAGATGAGGCGAGGGAAGGTACACCCTAAACCCTAAACC